CAAGGGTAGGCACCTAACAGCGGTGAAGCAGGCCGGGTTAGGCGGCGTACTGCGGCAGAATAGTGGGTCCAACGGAGCCGGATCTCGGTAACTGCTCCGGCGAAGCCGGAGATATCAATCCGGGCTCTAGCCCGTGACATTGCAGAATCGCTCAGAACCGTCTCGACCTTTGAAAGGTGCAAGTTCTGGCTTTTCTTCTCGATCGCCCGCCGCTTCTCGTAAAAGTCGGATGTATCCTGCCATACAGCGAAGATTCGTTCCGCGCACTCCCTGTCTTGCTGAGCAGTTGTCGGGAATGTGGTGTCGATCTCTGGGGTCTCGTTCACGCGAACATGTTTTTCGTACGCGGCTGACAGAAGACTGACATGGGCGGCGTCCCTCACAATACCACGAAAGGCCATTGTAGCAGGCTTCGCCAGTTCTGACCTCCGTCCAAGGGCGCCAATACTGTCATACTCTCCCAAGAACTTGGAAGCACTGTCCAGTTGAGTCGAGATTCCTTCATATCAATCTCTGTTATTATTGTGCCAAGCAGGGATGAGAAACAAAACGAAAATGAAAAGCGCAAGGCCAGATGAAACGACATATGCGCTGCCTTGCTTCCAAGCTTCTTCAGGCAAGTTGGGAAGAATACCAGAACCCAGTAACAATTACGGATTTGCGGCTTCTGATGAGCTTGTGGCTTTTGAATTACTCGCTGGTTGTTTGGTCCTGATTGAACGTTCCGTAAGGCTGTCATCCTTCGACCATAGTGTCAAATATATGCGATGTTCTGCGCAGGCTTCAGGGGCATTATCAGCGGATAGGCATGGATGTCAGGCCATTCAACTTGAAAAGTTGCTTCTGTGGCAAAAGATGTCTATGTACTCATGGCCAAAACCAATTCTGATGTTTATGGGGTATCAAAGGCTCAAGACACAAAATCAGAATGCGCAGTATCCGCAAGACGAGCATAACAAAGAACAAGCACCTCCTGTCTAGAATTGAACACCTAATTGTGCAAAACTCTACGCCTTGCGTCTCTTTGCGAGCTGTCTCCGAGCATTGTCGCCAATCTGGCCACCTTTGTGTACCAGCTGTCCGTCCTTTGTTCGGATTTCGAAGTCCTCGGCCGAAGTCCACTCATTGGCTGCTGTCTTTTCGCGGATTATTTCACGTCCGGCCTGGTTCTGCACGTCTCGGCGGCCATTAAGCAGATCGTTGCTCAGTTTTGCCTGCTTCCATGGTCAGTGGCCATTGAGAACTTGAGGGGAACAAGGAGGGACTATGAGTGACATACGGCGCGTTCCTTTGTTGGGGCGGTTGCGAACTTTGCAAACCAGTCGGCCCGAAGCAGAGAATGGACAAGTATCTTGCAGTCCTAGGCCTCATTAGTTATTTACAGATCAGGACGATAGATCAACATACCAGAAGCTCCTTGACCATTGCAGACCATCTCTCGCCAAAGGTGGTGAAATGGTCCCAGGTCGACACGGTCCTCTCACCCGACCAGAGAGGTTTCATCGTGAAGCCCCTTTGAGCATCTTCAGCAGCAATCTGTATCCAGTGTAAGCCAAGCATCCAGCATCACATACCCAATAACCATTGACTCACCAGAAGCTGCCAGCAGATGACCTCAATCTCGACATCTGTGATCTTATGATGGATCACCGTGTTGAGCCGGTCAGAGGCGGAGTTGTCCTCCTTCAAGAGATCCCAGTCGGCCTTGCTCAATCCTTTGGGTCGCTCCTCAGTCGCTTTGCGCTTCCTCGGATCATTTGTCGCACTTGAACCACTGACGCCTTGTTCCTGGGCTTCTGGGAGCTTGCTATCAGCTGTCTTCGCCCGGACCTTTGCCAGGCGTTCCTTGGCTTTTCGGAGCTCAAAGAAGTCATTGGTGCTTGTGATGGCACTGTACATCTCCTGGATATACTCAATGCACTTCTCCGTGCTCTGGGGCCACGAGTGATCTTCCTCTGGCGTCAGCCCAGGTTGGCGCTTGACATGACGATTATACGCATTGTTGATCTCCGCAAAGTGCTCACGGTCCTTGATGATCCCCTGATAGATACATAGGGCAGGCTTATCAAGCTCTGCGACCAGCAGAGGGTGGTCGGATACAACAATCGCTGACTTTGGGGCCCGGCTTGAACTCGTGGTCGCCTGTTGGGGTGTGACTGGAATGCTCTCAGTGACTGTTCCCGGAGGGGAAGGATAGTCAGCAGGACTCGGACCAGCCGATGTCGCCGCTTCCAGAAGGCTCTCGATCTCGAGGCTCTGTTGCATTTGTTTGAGGCTCTCGATCGCCTGGTCGGCCATCTCAGAGTTGGTAATGGCAAGGTCGTAGATCCATACGTGGAATCTGGTTACAAAGCTCCAGATTTGGCAGAAGTCCGCTCTGTTATTCAGCAGTGTCCCGTAAAAGGCCAGCTCTGGGAACAGTCGCGGCTCTTGGTAGTATCGGTACGGAACAATCTGCGCTTGGAGTTGGTTAGCATCTTCCCGATCGTTGAGAGGAGTCCGTCGTACATAAGATGAGGTCCAACATCCATTCCTTTTGGTTGGCCGCGACCAATGGGTCTTGCAGGATGTCAAGGTCGACTTGGAATGTAGCCTCCATATTCTTCCGTGGTGTTGCAGACGGATGAAGATCCCGGGGAAGAGAAGTATCGCCAGGGGAGGCAAGTCGCGAGGAGGGACAAGATCGCGAGCAGGTAGGAGATCGCGAGAAAGAGTATCGCGAGAAAGAAGATTATCGCGAGAAGAAGAGTATCGCGAGAAAGAAGAGTGTCGCGAGAAGAATGTCGCGAGAAAGCAGAGTATCTCGGGGAGTAGGAAGGTCAGGAAGAAAAGGCCTGGAGGAAGAGTTCGGGAGGTGGTGAGGGTAAGGTGGGAGAAGTAGAAGATGGGAATGCGGGTGACGAGGTGAAGTTTGGTGAAGTCGGCCGTGGGTGGTCTGGTGAAAATTTTGGATCCTATTCGTGGGAGGAAGGTGGGAGATTTATGCGAAAGGAGAAGCTCCCCGGTGAGCCTGAGGTCGCTGTAGTGATTGAAGTCAAGGTGAGCTTAGTGAATCCCCAACCGCTATCGCCAACCTCAGACGACTTCCCAAAAGGGGAATAGGCGAGCTCGACACGTCGAAAAACTTTCAGACGCGTCTACAAGACCTCCGAAAGGTGAGAATTAACAGCTGCCCATGCCGTCCACGTCCTTCATCTGATAGAAAAGGGGCATCACGGGGTCGCAGGTGAGAAGCCTGTCAGTAAGTAGCATACCGGAGGTGAAGCCAGACGCCCTTCAAGCAAATTCTGCAGACCACAAGGTATGCCATGAATCAGAAATGATGTTGATTCTACGTGCATGCGATACTATCCGATGAGATCTGCCGGTGCAGGTAATCTTCCCTCCATTTGATTCGGCGAAGCACGCCTTCAATTGAGCCACTCGTTGTTGAGCTTCAACCGTAAATCTCGCGACGAAGAAGTAGATACACACGACAGAATTACTTCCAGAGATGGAGTTGGATACATTCAATACGCGCCTTGGGTACCCCGACGAGGTCCTTACGTCGCTCCTTGCGTAGTCGGCTCTCGCTGCCAACCCCTGGAATACGTTCCATATGAACAAATATGCCTTTTTGTTCACATTGCCGTGATCTTTCTGTGCTGGGAAGCACGATGGAGTGATTCAAAAGCAGCTGCTCCCAAAGGATGTCCCAAGGGCAAGAAATTGAAATGAACCCTGCCGCTGCGAAGTATCGCGTACCGTTTCTCCCTACACGTAGATCCTACGGGCTCTAACGAAATCTGACCATAGAGAGCAGTCTTTGATTGTAAATAATTCTGCCGCGAGAAGGGCACCATGAATCAGAACATCTGAATCTTCATCGTCGGGTAAACGTGCGATGGCCCAAGTAAAAACGAACGAATTGCCCCAGAATCAACCATCATCAAACTTAATTGGCGCAGAGCCACCGGCTCGGTTATTATGTCCCGGAACACCCTGTCTGCCTCCCACTCTGTGTCCGATCTGAGTTCTTTTGACGATGACTCGGCCTTTTGTTGTACAAATCTCCAAGCCATCCGTGCTTTGTTCTAAGACATTTAACGTCCTGGAGAACTTGCGAGTGAAATTAGAAAATTTACCCAACCGTGGGCTTGTGATAGGAATGCAAATCGACCATCCTTTTCAAGATTCGGGTTCGTGGCCACAGGTTATTACAGGAAGAGCTGCGTGTATTGGGGCTTTATAAACAGCATCGCCAGAGGCTTTGCGAGCGACATTGTCGGCCCAGCTAAGCTGCTTGTAGATTTCAAGGATTTGCTTCCGCTTCGTAGTCGCATTTCGTAAGTGGTCAATGACTGCCGCTTGGATTGTCGTCGTGCTGACTGCGAGGGCCGCCGCTCGGACAATATCCCTTGTCGATTATAGGGAATGGTATTTCTACGAAATGACATCGAAGTTGGTTGGCTTTAATTGACGATGAGACAATGAAAATAAGGCTGTTTAAGAAGAGTTCCCTGAGAGAGAAACGGAAATAGCTCGGGTATGAATGCGATCTCGTACATGGCTTTGATCGTTGCCGCTCGTGCGCTGGTCGATTAAGGGCCCCTGGGACCTCTCACAGGACTTTCCGCGTACCTTAGACCATCACAGTTACCAAGCGCTCAAGATTGCCGTGGATAGAATCTTCCAGTCACCAAGAGAAAGCATCCGAGACGCGTCAGAAGTCGCGTGGGATTGGTAGCAGAAGAATAGGAAATGAACAAGTGGTCTCCAAGATAAAGGCAGCATTGAAAACGCCTTTTTTGTCGACGTTCTCGCCGACGTCTTGGGCGGCAACGACAGCCCTAGAAACCCAATTCAATACCTTCGTAAGATCAGCTGAACGAACCCATTGATGTTGCTACTTTCTACGACTAGGCCACGCCTCCAAAGTAGAGGCCTCCAAGAGTACCACGTTGCCGACCAGCCGGAATGTGCATGAGGCGGAGGATGTCGTTCTGTACCTCCGGCATGCCTATGTTGATGAATTGGGCGTTATGTACCACTTCCTTGGGGGAAATAGTGATGGACGTGATGTTCGGAACAATTTAGTTATCCCAGGTGAGACCAACTACTCTTATCGTGAGTTTACTATATATCGAGAAGTATCCGATGATAATAGGGATATTATCCTTGTTCACCGGAGCACCGTCATAATATTCCATAGGCTATCCAACAAAGATACTTATCAGCTTTAGTGGCTCGGCGATATCCACCAGGTTAGCTGCGGATAGGAAAGTCTGAGTGCCAGCCGTGGACTTCGCCTTCTTAGTACCGGTGTTGCTAGCTAAGGCTCTGCCAGTCTTAGTTCGATACTCATTATGAATTGAGGCTCCGGTGCTTGTTTCTTACCCCAATGCCTGAGGATCGCGAAAAGGACGTCTGGAGAGTCTGTTGCCGAGATGTTGGCTGCCGTGGTGTCCACATACATCGGACGGCGCGAAGTGAGATGGCAAGTCTGACTTATATCCCGCATCAAGGTACTGCTTGTTACCCTCTGCAGTCGACGGGCCCGGCTTTCCATGCATACGTGGAGATAAATGCGAGATACTGTGGCATCGTGCAAACAGAAAAGGCAGTCGCCCGGTAAACTATCAGGCAAGCTTCAAGGTTATTCGTACGTCGGACTGTCATCTTCAGGTCCGAGAACAGCGAGATGGTTTTCTGCTGTGAGGATTCCATCATGTATCTTCTTCGTCGACGGTATCACTAAACGGCTGGCGTTTTTCGGGTCCATTGCGTTTGTGGCTGTCGTCTTTGTCCCTGCTAGAGGAGAGGAGCATGAATAGGAGGTTCAAAGCCGTTCGTGGTTATGAGCTGGAGACTGTCTTCGGGAAGCTTATCGCGCTGCTGGTAATTCGTGGACTTATACTTTTTCCGTTGTTCCAGCTGGGCGAGAGAAGAGACCGAACATCACCAGGTAGTCCTGGAGTGGGCCTTGGTGGGATAGCTTCTGAATCCAGCGGCTGGTTTACGCGCCTTGCGCCTGAGTTACGATATTCGTCTCATTTCGGGCAAAAGAATGATCCGCCTTGAGGTATCTCTCTATTATCCACGGCGTGGTTAACGGTGCCAAACTCCCGAAGTATTCGCAGCATTGCAATATATTCGCATATTCGTTACTCTGTACCGCGTGCTAGGCGTGCCATATCAAACTTGAACTGTGGCTCTTCTTTTCAGCCTTCGTAGCTCGAGCCGGCGGTGCTTGAGCTCCAGTCAAAGTATTCAATCTCAAAGACGATAGCCCCTGAGGAAAATTCAACGTAGATGTGCAAAGTGCAGTAAAACGCTGTGGCACGACCATTGCTTCGTGCCTTCCTTCGCTGCTTCCTTCGATGTGTTCATCTCCTTGCCTTGGTTTATTTTCGCGTATGTATCAACCAGGCTTAAATCGATAGCCGGCTGCCCACCGCGACACTCTCTTTCGCACTCGAGCGCGAGATGAATACAGGGAGGAACCTGTCCAGTTACTCCAAGCTGCCGCCGTCAAAATAGGCGAGGGCCCCGGGCTAGGCGCAATGGGACGAACTCATGAAAATACTCCGGAAGTAGGTACATATGAGAGCCTGGTGATTGTTATATGGTAAAAGAAACTCGTGCCAAACGAAACAACAGGGTGTTTACAATTACGATAACCCCAGGTTCAGTTTGCTCCAAAGGACGACATCCCCAATGCCGAGGAGACTTACGGTTAGTTAGGGCGAGGCCAGTATTTTTTGTCTTCCGGCGACCGTGGTAGTTGTAATGCAGATCTTTCGTCTTTGGTCTGCCGCCTACATCTTGTAGGCTGGAATGCATGAGTATCGCTAGCTATGCCACATGTAGATATTGAGTTGTTGGTCTTTGCGTTGTTGAAGGAAGTGTTGATCGAGTGGCCCGACTTAGACACTTGGCGGTGCCTGTGTAAGGTACCGTGCCTTCGATTGAATCCCAATACAGCGACAAAAGCCGTGTCAGCACATATGAATTATATGGATCCTAAGCTTTTTCCGCATGGTGGACATGAAAGCAGGAGAAGTCGACGAGGACGGTGTAACTTTTGACCCGAGGATGATGAGCGTTTTCGACTTCTCAGGAGTGAAGGTGTTGTGTCGTTTGTATTCTAAAGGGAGTATAACTTATCGTTTCATATTTGTACCCCTCATTAGTCGAGTCGCACTAGTAAGACGGGCAATAGCGAGCTCGACGTCGTATTTCAAAGACAATGTCCCGTGTTCCAGCCTTTCGAGTGGCTCCGTCCGTCGTTTTGTTGTCCTTGTGCAGCTTTGCTTAAAGGATTCTAGTCGATGATCAGCGTAAATAGGCCCTCTAAGACAGTTGGTCCATTGTTATTAGTGAAAGGCCTCTGTGGATGGTGCAGAAGACGTTCGGAACGGACAATGTAGAGCAGCATATGACTCAGGTGGACACAACGACATCATTTCTAGGCTTCGAGGCGCTTCGTGTCTTTCGGTCTGGACCAAACTTCTTCCATCAACTGCGTTGGCCCCCGCCAGTGGGTGATGAGATGTTGCCGCATCGCATTGCGGCCGGGGCCCTGGGCTGGTTCGAAAGGTCGCAGAACTTTTGAGATCGAATATTGAATCTTCTGCGCCACTGATACGAGAGCAGGCGAAGGGGCCATCGGAAAACCGGTGAAGTCCTTGACCAATGTCTCCGGCACAGGACTACCCAGACCTTGTTTTGTAGCCCAAATTTCGGCAGAGGTAGGTGGTTTATCCGCATCATTGGCCAGACCATACCATAACCAGGAGATCATGACAATCCGCCGAATCAATCTGGTGGAAGATGCCGGACTTGTAGGCTTTGTAGGTCACAAGGACAACTACAAGTATGCCGACGATAAACAGAGGCGCGACGTTGACTTCGACCTCAATCTTTGCAGTTGAAGGTGTTGTCATCGTTTCTAATGCTCGCTCCCGTCTAATCCACAAAGGGAAGCGGTCACCTTAGTCCACAGCGGAAACCAACTGTCATGGGATCCAATGGTGTGAATGTGCATACTCTTGGCTCTTGGGTACCAAGGGTTCCAATAATTGTACAATGCCATTCTGTGTTTCAGAACAGAGACACCATGCAGTGATAGCCATGGATTTCCGCCGACCAAGATGTTGACGTGTGACCTTTTCTTTGTTGTTCTATGGCTGATTCCCGAAGGGCCCGGATTCAAAATTCACCACACCAGGATTGAATGCGTGCTGGCGCCTATCGCCGTCTGTTTCTTGATGTTGTTGTAACATTCTTAGACTGAATCGAAGATGGCAGCGTTGCTCGAATAAAAGCTGTTAGTCTTCACGCCAGCTGTCCAGATGATATCCAAGAATGGAGGGATCTTGGTCCAGGCATGAGATGGAGGTTCTGTCGACTGCCTCCAGAAGGTTGCTGCAGATACGTCAAATATGTACGCGACGCAAAAAGTCCATTTTGAGGTCGCATTTCAGATGAAGCCGCGGGACGCCCACGATGCCGACGTTTATTTTACCCCGCTTCACCGTGTGGAACACCAGCGAGCCATCTCGAATATGGTTCAACAAAAGCTCTCATGAGTCTGATGTTTTGGTCCGACGTTGTTTTTGAAGGTTGCGCCAAGGTAGGAAAATCGGGTCGGAGCTACGGATCTTATATGGCTCCTGGTAACCTTCCCAGGATGGGGCTGTGATACAGTGAGGCCAGCCTTCTCCCATAACCTCCGCAAACAAGAGCTTATTGACATTCTGCCCCTTCAGCTTGCGGGTAATTATGGACTCGGGAATCATGCTAGACCTTGGGCAACTGCCATCCAATTGTGCTTTCTAACGAGGCTAATCGGGGACGTCATGCTCCCAAGTTGGCTTCATACAGCGACACTATGGTTGGCCCCCAAAGGGCCCGGCTTTGATGCCTACTCTTCCAATGTTCTTGCCACGGCTACCAGACGTGAGAAAAAGCCCCCGAATACCTCATCTGGCAAATTGCCGCACATGCGTAATTTACTCGGGGCAAGGCCGAGCTTGAGATCGTAACATAGAGCGAAGCTGGGCCCGGGGGATGTGTGCATCGCGGTAATCCGCTTAATCCCGCTTCATTGTGTAGGACACCATGCGAGCCATCTGCAAGACGGTTCTACAAAAGCTCTCGCGAGTCTGAGGTTTATTCTGAAGTTGTTTGTGCTGTTTCTGGGAAAAGAAAGTGTTCTTTTCTGGATGTGACGTGTGAGACGCGCAAGGGTTTGTAGGTCAGCTCTTCGTAAATAAGATGAAGACGAGATAGAAGGCGGGCAACTGTAACAGATCCTGGAACACCGGTGTTGTTCTAAACAAAGCCCCGGCAGCAGGCGGTGATCTATCACCTCGCCGGCTGAGTCCGCTGGCTTGTCCACCGCGTACCTCTAGCCCCCAGATGTCGTTTCCTCGCAGCTGGGACTGGTAATGCATCTTGAAGGTTGTGCGCCGCGTCTTCGCTTGTAAGCTACATGCTTGCAAGAATCATTTTGAAGAATGCGTTGCTTTAGCTGGCTGTCGCCGTTTCATCCGCCCCTTTTCCGTCGGCCCAGAGCGACGCACATCGGGCTTTTATTTGGGAGCCGCGTAGGGATCCCGACATCCCCCATCCTACGAGCTTGCCCCGCCACTTAAGGCCCTTCAGTCTCCAATCTCGGCTTCGTCGCTGTGAGGGGCCGTCGCCGACACGCCGTGACCATCATCATCCACATAGCCGCGTGGGCGTCACCTGCGTAAGACCGCAAGAGCGTAGCACGTAGACCCGTTATAGTAAGGGCCACCAAAGACGAATTCGTCCTAATCTTTGCCATTTCCGGGAGGGATAGAAAGGCGCCCTCTCGCTCGAGCCGCGAGCGAGGCCGACCTGGCGTGCCGAGTGTCGCACGGCCTCTAGCCCCTCATATTTCCACGACGAATGACGGAGGGACAACTTGCAGCACAATTTCCTTCCAGGATACAAGCCTGGGAAGACATCTGCGTGCTTCCAATGTACCGTGTTCGCATTAAGGGCCCGTGGTTTAGGAATAGGAGTTGAGAAATGAGGTCGCTGCGGGAAGTGGCAGCGATATTGACGGAGAGAACTGTAACAATGTCGGTCTAGGTTCTTACGTCCAAGTGCTAACAGCCGAAAGCATTTGCTCCTTCAGCAACATCGCTTACTCCTTCGGTAGGATTTGACTCCTCGTTCTTGAGCATATGTGACGACGTCTCCCAACGAACGATAGTATCGTGTGCTGTCTTGAGTAGAGACAAGTGGATTGCTTCTTGCTGTCAATCTACACGTATTCGAGGCGGATATTGTCACTCTCGATTCTGTGTCTGGCGTGTTGATCTCATCGACCAATATGATGACATTTCTGGGCGGGTTTTTCGAGTTCAAGAGCTCGTGGTATCTCATGATCGTGAGGCGGAACAGAAGAAGTGGCGTCGCACTTTCTCGTGTCTCCTTAAAGATGATAGACCTCTGGGACGAATTCATGCCCGGTTCCGTTCGGGGTGGAGGGTCCATGTTGATCGATCATGGTAGAAGCCGCCCTGTGAGTGGATGCAGAAAATTCAATGAACTGTACTCAGTTCGGTTTGAGAATGATCAAGCTAAAGTATCCGTAGCAGGCGGTACTAGTAATCACTTCCACTCAAGCGTTGCCCTAGACGGCCGGCTTTGGCTTTTACATTCTCCCTCGACTCTCCGTCGCTGACGGCCGATTTCCTTGGAATAGTCTCAATCTTCCTGTCCCCGCGCATAGGCTGCGTGCTTTCGGGGACAACTCCAGAGGCGTGGGTGAGGCTGTACTACAAAAACCCCCAACCCAGCCCCCAGTGTGCACCAACGTCTCAGTCGGGAACTGAGGCTCCTTTCCCAGAGTCAGCGTCAGAGGCCTTACAACTATTGTTGTCTGTTTGACTCGGAGTGGCAGTCTGCGGCCAACACCGAAGGGGCATGGCGGGGGAGATTGCTTCAGAGAGCGGCAGTGTCGATGAACTCTATTGGGTTCGACTTTTCTTCCGCTTGGAGAGACGATCAGTTGTCTCTCGGTCATCTGATCCTCGAGCAGGGCGCCAATGTGCGAGAGGCGTCTGTCTCAAAGACGATGAAGTTCGAGGTTGAATGTGCGCCCGCCAGAACTACGAGGACCTATGCTAGACCAAGACACGAAGATTGCACTCGGTATCCTCTGGGGAATGCCAACATAATGGCTGAAAGTCCCCGACCCAACACCCAAAGGACACAATGATAGTAGAATAACGGCCCCGCACAGCGATGCGTTTGCTCATCCAAACATAGCCTGGGTATCATCTATGAGTGCCTGCAGGCTGCATGGCTCAGGGCCCGGGGATCTGGTGATGAGGCTCATTCCTCCGCCTCGGTAGCAGAAGATGCGATGGCGAAATTGATTGATTTGAACGAGAAGACTAAGGACAGTTGGTGGCCTTTAAAACCTTTCGTCGGCATGGCCTATGAGGACTTGCATGCTGGGACGCGGGGGAGGGCCCGGGGATACGGTAAAGAGGCCCATGCCTCAGCCCCGGTAGTGGAAGATACGATGATGAAGGTGATTGATTTGAAGGAGACGACAGAGAAATATGGGCGGCTTTTTAAGCCATTCGTTGGCATGGTCAACGGCGGGCACAGCATCATGGAGAGATGTTTGGGTACCTAGGAGATCACAAGGTGGCAGGGGAGATAGGGAATGCAGAGAAAAAAACGTGTTTGGACCTTCATGCAAGCTCCGCGAGAAACAAATCGCAAACGTTTGGGCAGAAAACGGGAAGCAGCAATGAGCATCTGTCCCCACCAAACGGCCCAATCCGCCTGTATGTCACTGAGATGTAGCAAAACAGCTTGCCAGTGGTAGAAATGCCAGATCAATTGTCAGGGTATCTCTATGCCTGCTTGAGCCAATTCCGTGGCCAATCCAGAAACTCTAAAGCAAACCATTTTGCGACCTCACCATTATCCCGAGAACGCCAGCCGGGCCGGACAACCGCCAGCACATACGAAGAGCAAGCTTTTTTGATGTTTTACCATTGGCGACGTCCACCACGGCCCCTGCCGCCGAAGCCACCGCGGTTGCCACCCATGCCCGACTGGTCGTAGCCGCCGTACTGGCCCTGGTTTCCTCCAAAGCCGCCCTGGCCAAAGTTTTGTTGCTGGCCCGCTTGGCCGCCGGCGTTGGCGCCTTGGGAAAACATGGCAGACATGGTGGCGGGGTCCATCTGGCTGGGGTCCATGCCCTGGCCCATCATCTGCTGCATCATGGCCTGCATCTCGGGGGGCATGCCGTCCATGCCGCCGCCGGGCATACCTCCCATACCAGCTGCCTGGGCCTGCTGGGCGCCAGCCCCTCCACCGGGCATGTTCATGCCGCCCATCATCATCATGCCAAAGTCCTCCATCATCTTCTTGTTACCGGCGGCGATAGCGTCGGCGTTGTACTCTCCACGGACAGCCTCTTGCTTGGCAGCGTAAAGGGCCCAGGTGAACTCGTCGAAGCCGTAGTTGAAGTAATCACTGATATCCGTACCGGGCTTGCGCCAGGGTTTCTCGTTTTCGGGGAGGTCTGTAAAGGTTAGCTGGGTGCGATGGGAAGCGCAGGGCGAGTCGTGCTTACCCTCGTCAATGTTGACGGCGGTGATGGGTTTGCCCGCAGGAGGGTAGGGAGGGTTCGCGTTGACGTCTATGGTGGACTTGGAAGCGGCAGCGGCAGCCTTGTCGGCACTGGGGATGCCCAGAGGGAGGTCGGAGGCAGCCGGCGACTCTTCCTTCGCTGGGGCGGCCTTGACGGGCATGTCGTTGGAGGCGGACCTTTGAGGAATGTTTCTGATGTCGCTGTATCGCGATTGTCTGTGGTTTCATGAGCTTCAAAGAAGTCTTTAACTTTGTGCTGGTGAGTGGTTGTTGAGACGTACGTTGGGGGTGCAGCCTTTGTGCCGTCTTTGCGCTCGGTGATGATGTCGATATCCTGAGGAAAGCGCCAGAACAGTCAGTCACTGGCTTATACACGGGCGGCTTACAAATACGCAGAGCGACCAGAGGTGCAGGCAGAAGCTTACAGAGTCTTCATCATCGTCTTCGTCCATGGCTCCGCCCTCATCCTCTTCCTCACCCTCCTCCAACTCGTCATTTTTGGACTCTACTTTTGGCGACGGCGCCTTGGGTGCAGCAGCATTTTCGGTCGCAGGCGCAGGCGCAGGAACAGTCGGCTCCTCGGGCGCGTAAAAATCATCATCCTCGTCGATATCCATTTTCGCGACTTCGATGAACGGCTCTACGTTTGGAACTGGTGGTGGAAGCAGTGGCGGTGGTGGTGGTGGTGTTTTCGGTCGAGGCTTCACAACGACGCCTTTCGCAGCAGGAGCAACAGCAGCGGCAGCAGCTTCCCAGGACATCCAGATGGAAGGCACGGGCCATCAACAGCAGCAGCAGCAGCAGCAACAGCAGGTGCAGTCAGCATTGCCCAATCAGCGCCCCGGTCTAGCAGCTTCGGTGTGGAACCCCGGAGGCGGCATCTCAGAACGCCGAATAGCCAATCCCAGGCGGTCGCAATCCACGCTGGCAAAGGCAGCAGCAGCTCAGAAAGCTGCAGGTGGCCCGTGCCCTCCAGTCCCTGCCGCCAATTCTTCTTTCGCGTTGACCGCGCAGCGACAGCAGCAGCAACAGCAGCCAGCACAAGAATCAGCAACAAACAATCCAGCAGCTCAAGTCCACGGCCATCAGCCTCACCCTACCCCGGCTTTCACCTCGAACACGACCTCGGCCTCGCCTTTCATCTCAATCGCAAACGATAATACTACTGGCTCTACTGCACCAGAGAACTCGACCGCCAACATGTCGCTGTTCGGTGCGAAAACTGGCGGTGGCTTGAGCATCAACACTGGTGCTGCCAATTCTGCGTATGTTTTGCCCTCTTTCGGGTCACTGCATTGCCAAACCCGAGTCTTGCCCTTGCATTGTACCTCAATATCTTGCTAACACTGTTCTGCTACAGCGCCGGCCCTTCGTCGACACCCGCAGCTGGCGGAGGACTCTTTGGAAACACAGCGGCCACAACACAACCTGCTACGAGCGGTGGTCTCTTTGGGGGAACCCAGACTGGAGCTGCAAGCGGAGGACTGTTTGGCAACAAGCCATCAACACCCGCGACTGGCGGCCTGTTTGGTGCATCTACCACAGCTTCTCAGCCCCAGCAACAGGCCGGAGGTCTATTCGGCGGAGCGACAACAGCAACACCCCAGGCCCAGCCCCAGCAAGCGGGAGGCCTTTTCGGTCAGGCGGCGAATACCACAACCCAGACAGGCACCACAGGGGGAGGACTGTTTGGAAACCAGACACCGGCGCAGCAGACGGGCCAGCAGCAACCTCAACAAAGCGGAGGACTGTTCGGAGCGGCCCAGCAGAAGCCAGGGGGAGGTGGTCTATTTGGCCAGTCGCTGTCAATGACCCAGCAGCAGCCATCAGGACTGTTCGGTGGCGGAAATACAAACACGCAGGCGCAACAGACACCGCAACAGGGTGGCGGCGGCCTCTTTGGCTCGAGTCTTGCCCCCAGCCAAGCCAAGCCTGGTGGTCTTTTGTAAGTGATTTTATCAATCTCTCCGTGGCTCATGCTAACATCTGAAAGTGGCGGCGGCGCTTCAACCCAGCAACAGAACAACACAGCTCCCGGCCTGACTATGGGTCAGTCGACCACGCAGCAAACCGTTCCCGGTGTAAGGGTGGACCTTTCGAACGTCAAGGGCACGACCCGCTTCAACGACCTCGAGCAGTCCCTGCAGACCGAGATGGAGAACTGCGACACCATGATCCAGCGCTTCATGAACCACGCGTCCGAGATCAGGGGTTTCATGGCGGCCCATGGCGGCGATCTTGCTCAGCTCACCAACGACGTCACCTGGCTGCAGCGCAAGTACGAGGGCGTCAAGACGACCCTGGACGAGGACATTGTCACCCTGGCACACCTGAAGGATCTTGTCAAGTCGGATGCGGACATCGCAAAGATGGCATTTGCTGGCGCCGATCAGCTTAAGCTCCCTGCGCACTACCACCAGACGTGGCTCACCCGCGGTGGAACCGGCAGTAACGCGCCGAACGGCAACCAGGACCGCAATCTGGAGGACGTACTCACCCTTTTCTCGAACGAGGCCGACAGGCTAAAGGAGCTGCACCAGTTCCAGGTGCAGAAGATCAAGGAGATGGAGCAGCACATGCCAGGTGTCGAGCACGGCCTCTACGAGCGGGTGCGCGCCCTGCGCGACCAGACGCAGGTTCCCGCGTTCAACATGGTCCTGGACCTTTTGGAGACGATCAAGATGATGGGTGACAAAATTTACGAGGCGGCAGGTGGCATTGTGGATGTCCGCGAGAAGCTGACCCAGCTTCAGCGCCAGTACCCCACCAAGTGAGGAGATTTGTGAAGGTTGGGCTAGAGTAATGATGAGGCGTGGGCCGGGGGACAGACGCTTGGCATAAGGGCTGTGGGAAGCATATGGCGTTCAGGATGGCTAAAAAGTATACACCGGCAGCATGGCAGAATCGAGCGAGCTTCGTGCACAAGATCCGGCTCCGAGATACCGGTGACGTTGGCTCACGTGGCATGCAAGTTGCGGCGGCATTCCCTCAGCCACGATGGCGTCAAGAATGGAGCCTGGAGATACGGCGATGTCGCAGCTACGGCGCCAGAAAAGCGCTTCGGCATGGGCACGGAGAGTCACGTTGTGAAGTATATAGAACATGGCGGCACAGGTCGTTGATACCCAATGTCAGATACCCCTGACTCACCAATTTGTCCAGTCTCGATATGTGAAATGCAATGCTCTTGTGTCTGTTGTATATGATGGGTATCTGGGAGCTGTCCGCTCAGCAAAGCCGTTCATCCGCCCAACGCCTGATATGCTAATCCTCATTCCTCGTGAGGTAGGCAAAGTCTCTGCAGATCCTTCCGCCTTCGCTACCCCCTCCGTTCCTTCAAAAAATGACGCCGTCTCTCTCTCTCGCCACGATCAATACGACCCTTCGCGGCCGCCGTGGTCATCATCCCCACCATCGTCGTCCCCAAACTCCCCGTCGTCAAAGTAATTCTCCGCATCGTAGTCGCCCGCATCCTCGTCGTCGTACTCCACATCCTGCTCCTCCTCCTCGCCGCCCTCCTCCCACTCCTCCTCGCCCTCCGCGCCCTCGGCATCCGGCATCCTCTCCAGCGCCTCGAGGGTCTTCTTCGCGCCCTCCGGCCCCGCCGCGGGCTCCTCGACCTGGAACACGTCCTCGGCCGTCGGCAGCGCCGTGATGCGCGACAGCCGCAGCCGCTTCGCCTCGCCGCCGCGGCGCTTCTCGCCGGGCGCGACGTCGTCGCCGTCGAGCGTCGCGTGCAGCTCCGCGGGGAAGAATTCCTTGCAGAACGGCCGCGAGCCGAACTCGGGCAGCGCGCGCTCCGGGCGAGCGAACTTCTGGCTGTACGTCGGCACGCCCGTGAAGGGGTCCGCGGTCGCGCGCGTGCGCACGCCGTACTTTGCGTTCACCTGGTCCTGCCCGTAGAGCTTGCGCGTGTTGGACGGGTCCATGCCCCAGGTGCGCTTGCGGGTGTAGAGAGGTCCGTCCTGGACCTGGCGGCGGAAGAGGAGGAAGGCGTTGACGTTGGCCTGTTCGAGGGCGGAGAGGGGCTTCGCTGTCGGGACGGCGTATTGCTGTTGTCGGGAATGTTAGATTGGCTGGGGACTATGGGAAAGGGAGGAGGAGACGTACGGGAAAGAGCTCCGAGGGGCGGGTGTCGGGTGCGTGTTCGCCATTGTCCCAGGAGAGTTGGGGGCCCGTCTTGCCGCCGCGGCCGCCCCGTCCTCCGCCTCGTCCACCGCGCGACATGGTCCTCGGTTGTATCGTATGTGTACTTCCTTGAGGGTTCTATGTGGGCGGTTGTTAGCGATTGTGTGCTGTAGAGGTGGCTGCTGGGATTGCGCCAAGGTGGTTGGCGGTTTGGCCTCGCTTCGCTCGCGTGCCGCGGCTGAAGTTTTGCAGCCTGTGCAATTATGGGATTGACGTACCGTTGTTGCTTGTAAGATTGCGGGAAAGTGTTCTGACTAGGTGAAAATATGGAGGAAGTTGCAGAGAGTCGTTTGGCGTAATGCCGCAAGATCGTTATATGAGTCGAACGAAAAAGAGTCAAAGTCGGAGATGCAGTCATGGTTGGCGCCGACCTGGAGTTGGACGTCTTGATTTTTTAGCGGGGTCAATTGGGGTAATGGTGGCTTGTGATTCGTTGAGGTGGCTGGTGTAGCTCTCCCGTGTCTGTTCTCCGCAGACAACAATCTGTGTAAGTAGCTTTCAAGATAGGGAAAACACATTCAATCTTTGTTAACAATCACAGGGTTTCATCATTCTACAGTATATGTAGAATCGTAAACAGGCTGTTATTAGAACCAACCATCTGCTCAGCGTGACAAAAGCCTCCATCACGCTTGTTCAATGAACCACGTTGGTGTCGTGAGATTTAGCTCAGGCAATGGAAAAACTGGATAAGAGCGACGCCGTAAAGCCCTGAGATGCGTTAAAATGAATTCAGCCGTGCCTCACGAAGTTGATTTTGCTGCATTCTGATTCTTGTTTGGACGATCTCACCCACACAGCCGTGACAGTCGGCATGCGTGTGTCACTTGCATAGCTTACCTTACCTACCTTACCTTACCTTACCTGTAGAGGCCTCTCATCCCAGAACACAACTATGTCACATTGTTAGTTGACTAAAGACTGGCAACTTGTGCAAAAAGCCATGATCGTCACTTACAGCTGGACCAGTAGGCACGTAGCGGGGTCTTCACCCTTCCCGCTGGACGCCGCTGCCCCGCTACCGCCACCCCTGTAAGGCACCCAAGCGCTACGCACCCAGCACACGCAGCTTGCGGCTGCCTTATCTTATCTTAGCGTCCGGGGACCCTTAAACCGACCAGGAAGCTTCCAGCTCCCCGCCATCCGCAAACCTCCAGCTCCTCCAACTTGCAGACATCACCAATTTCGTCTTCGCCTCTCGCCTCGACCTAGCCGCACCACCGTCACCAAAAATTGCTATGTCAGACCCCGTCGTCCCCAAGATGACAACCGACACAATCCCCATAACCGGGCTCGACGAGCTCACAGCCCACCTCGACGACCTCGTCGCCTCGCCCGAAACGCCCCTCCAACCGAAGATCCTCGACGACATTGAGCTCCAACTCACAGGTCAGCCATTCCGCCTCTCTCTCCCTCTCCTCGTCCTCTTCTGAAAAGCTAATAACGCCATAGAATCAAACATCCCGCCCCTCCTCCCAACCCTCCTCCCAAAACTCACAACAATCCTCAAAACAACCCCCCACGACCCCGCCCCCATCGTCTCCCTCACAATAAAACTCCTCTCCCCCGTCCCCTTCACCCAAACCCTCCAGCTCGCCGACGAATCCTCCCTCATCTCCGCCCTGCGCTCCCCCGCCCCTTCCGCCAACCTCCTCGCCCTCGCCATCCTCGAAAAGGCCGCCGCCACCCCCTCCGACGCCGCCATCCTCTCCCTCATGCCCAAAGTCGTCCTCGAGCTCCTCCGCCGCTGGCTCTCCTCGCCCCAAGTCGAGGTCGGCGAGAAGGCCTCCCGCGTCATCGGCGACCTCCTCGAGACAGACTGCGAACTGCCCCCGCCCGCTGCCCTCCCGAGCCTCACCGGCACCGACCTCGTCCGCCGACGCGCGCCGGGCCAGGGAAGGATGTGGCGGCGCCTCTTCCATGACCGTGAGCCCTTCGGCCTCGTGCTCGCCCTCGCCCGCGGCGAAGACCCCGCCGAAGACGTGAAGCTGTCCGAGCACCAGCTGTCCCTCGCCCAGGGCCGCATCCTGCGCGTCCTCCCGCGGCTCGCGAGCTTGAACATCGTCGAGGTCGGCACGTCGCAGTTCCCCGAGCTGACAGGGTCCAACGACGTGGGCCTGCTGCAGCTTGCAGCGCTGAGGATGGTTGATATGGAAGATACTCTCATGCACCTCAGCCTGATCGACTTCTTTGAGACGCTGGTGAGTGTCATGAGGGTGGCGGAGCAGTCGCACCGGACAATGGGGATCCTGCGGGATCTAGTAAGGGAGGCGAGCAAGGACGATCAGATGCTGAAGGAGGCGTTGAGGAGTTTGCCGGATCGGACTGTGCCCGAGGAGTCGGAGCAGTTGAGGACGTTCATCCGGGATATCATGTCTGCACGCGGCTGAGCAGCGTAAATGTACAAAAATGGCATGGCGTTTGGGAAGCATGGCACTGGTCTGGGACAAGCATGGATGGATGTCTTCAATATGGACACGAACTGCGAAAGGCCTCGGCAATCCGAGCCGGGTACAATAATTTTACATGAAATGATTCCCCCTCAATCTATCCATTACGCCTCTTCCTGTGCTGCACCTGGTTTTTGTACGCTCGTCCTCCAGCTCAACGCCTCATCCTGGCCGACGCGTCTCCCTCGGGCCCGTCCACGTCCGTCGCGTGGCTCAGGATGCTGTCCCTGCGGTCCACGTCCACCTTGGTCATCCCCTCAATACCCAAACCGACCTCGCCGACGCGGCGGAGCACCAGGAGTAGCGCTGTCCGCAGGTCCGACGTCAGGTCCTTGCCGAGAAGCTCCACGACCATCGGGTAGAACTCCTTAATGTTCTTCGAGAACGAGGTCACGGGGAAGGCGGCGTACCCCTCGAGAACATCAACAACGACGGGGCGCCAGGCGACGATGTTGCGGTGCTGGCTGTCCTCCTCGAGCGCGACAAAGTCCTTGATGATGCTCTTGCACAGGGGAATCAGGGCCTGCTCGATCGCATCGCGCGCCGAAGCGCGCTCGTCGCTGTCGTCTGCGTACATGCGGAAGAGGATGGCGACGTAAGTAGCGGCGGCACCGCTCTCCTGCTTGAGCAGATTCGGGGCCTGCTTCATAAAACCCTCGCGCCAGAGGCGCATCCGCAGCTCCTTATCGGCGTTGAACTTCCTGGCAAACAGGTAAGACTTCTTAAGCAGCCCCATGAGCTTGAGTAGTTCCGCCGTGGGGATCTGGGAGTAGACAGTGTCGTTACTGAAGAGCTCGTTGACCGTCTCGATCATGAGCAGCTGAAGAACGCATCGCGAGATGATACGGTTGAAGTAGCGCCGGCGGGCGGCTGTAACGACCACGGGCTGTTGCTGAAGGTTTGATGAGGGCTTGAACTCCTCCAAAGGTGCTTGGGCCTGGGGTGGAGCCGCTGCTGTCGGGGTCTTGAGGTCGTCTTCTTCTACCGTACCGGCGTGGGCTGCCAGTGAGTTCGTGTCAGCGTCGTCGCCGTTCTTTTCAGAGCCGTTGATCTTCAATGACTCCTCGTCGACCGGAGTGGTATCAGCAGTAGGACTGAGAGGACCGGCAAACTCGAGGCCGTTCGGGGGCAGATCG